ATTAGCAGCCATGGTGGCTTGATGTAAGACTCAGCAGGTTTGACTCAAGATTTTTGTGCTGCTTAAATCAAGCTAGCAGGTGATCCAAGCTATAAGGTAGCTGCAATTAAGAATCTCGAATCTTGAATTTAGCAATAAATTGCTTGTTTTAAGATAAAAATTCTTGAATCAAGCTGATTTTTTCTCAAGATTCCGAGACGGCTTGACCGTAGCAGACTTTTTTTTCCCAGTGTAGAGTTCAGACTATTGGAAAAATTGACAAGAAAAAAACTCTTGATTCAATCGGATTTTTGCTCGAATCAAAACGAAATCCGCTTAAATTAAGAGGCTTGGTTCTTGATTTTTAAGCTAGATTCTGATTGAATCAAGAGATGCTGGCTCTTTTGAGTGCACGGTAGAGGTGTGATGGAGTTCATCATCGGAAGATTGGGATTCGGGTGGATCCGTGATGACGTTGGGTGCGGGTGGAACGTTGACTTGGGGTTGAGCGTTAGAAACAACGGTTCTTTCTAGTTACACGTCACCATTTGGATCAATTTTTGTATTACGAGGGTGACGAAATGTGGACAAACAAAATTATCTATGAAACTTACGATAAGGATGCAACGCGTGACCATTATAGTCGAAAGCAGGCGCTTTTTTTTCGAAGTGATTGTTAACGAGGCAGTATTCATGATGTTGAATAGAAATCTAAAATGATCCTCAAAATATGATAATTGCGGATGCGTGATCATTATTGATTTACCTATTTTTGAGTCGACAGATCCAATCATCTTTTCCTCGAGGCAATTTTGCTATCACTTAGAGGATAATTTCTGCTTGATATTTTCATTAATGTCGGCGATCGATAGTCGCCCAAACATGAATTTTGTACCTCTATACGCCCATCGCTGAAAATATTACTCCTGATTTCTGAAGCAGAATCTTTTATACAGTGACGCTTTTAAAATAGAGTCAGGAAGAGGACTTTGTCGTCATTCTCGTGAAATCTACAAAAAATTGAACGAACGAATGAATATACTTACAGGCTGCGATATTGATAATTCATGAATGGGCGATGTAATATCAAGTAAAAAACAAGCTCATTTTGTTTTCCCCAGATTCTGAAGATGGTCTGCAGCCTACTTTATGTTCGGCAAGATTATTCAATTTTCTTGCGTGCAGTTTTTCTTGTGCTTCTTGAAAACCAATCCTAACCCCTTCACAGGTCCATTAGCATTATCTGGTCGAATTTCACGCACAATCTACCGCAGACTACCTTCTCTCAAACATTGTCAAAAGCTCTTAAGCAGCAACTTTCCCTATTCATGCAAGCCGAACAGGCGCTCCTTGCACAAATGAGCGGCTCGTGGAATGACTATTGTAATACGGTTCTCGCACCAATCATTTTTCTATTGTAATGCATTTCATCACTCCGACAATATGAATTATTCGGTCGCTAGCCTGATTTTTTTCGCTTCTTTCGATTTACACGCATTTTCCGGTAGTAATTTTATGAGAATAGACCGGCCAAACTTTCACTAAGCCTTGAAGTCAGCCGCACTGAAAAAAAAACACATTGTATCTAGGGTCCAGACTCTTTAAACATCGACAAGAAAAAGTACTCTTGATTCAATCAGAATCTAGCTAAAATCAAGAACTAAGTCTCTTAATTTAAGCAGATTTCGTTGTGATTCAAGCAAAAATCCGATTGAATCAAGAGTTTTTTTTCTTGTCGATGTTTTCAAGAGTCTGGACTCTAGATCCAATGTGTTTTTTTTCCAGCGCGTAAAATACACGGACTTAAAAAGCAGACATTTGACAAGATCATAATGGATTTACTCGAAAGCTCAAAAAGTTGATTGATCATGAATTTAGTAACCCGTTCCCTAAGTAAGCCCCACAAATTTTACATCTGAAAGTAAATACTATTTTTCTTTCTATTCGGGGACCATTTAAACCCACCTCTCCCCTACCCAACCTGAAAAGAGCAGGCGAAGCTGAGTGTAACTGACTTAACAATGGAAAGGAAGAAAAACCTCAATCCACTCGACGTAATGCAATTGAATGTATCGGAGTTTATTCACTAAAATCAAACTAAAGTAGGTCAGGTTAGCTTAGTGCGGAGCAGGGGAAAGTTGGGTGATGGATGATGCCTGAATAGGTTACGTTAGACTTCGGACGCTTCTTCGCCTATCATATTCGTACTTACAATTTATATCTTTTCTTTAATGATACCGTGAAGTTCCAGCAATAAAACCATGGGTCCGACTGTTACATGTCCATTTAACAGCTCCCTTGGTATCCTGAAAATTCACATTTGCGTACATTTGATCGGGGAAGAGGTAAACACAGATCGGAGGATTGTTACTTACGTGAGCCGGTGAAACGCAGCAAATAGCTGTAATTTGCGTTCGAAACATGGAACCAGAAGCAGAAAGGTATCTGAGGGAGTGGTGATCACGCTTCCTTGGAATCGTCATAATGGGCGAAATGACTTTGAATTAGCCTTAAACGGTTCGAGCTGCACTTCGCTGGCTCTTGCTGCATCAACAGTATCGAACACCTGTTTGAAAGACTAGGAGTCTGGTGCCTGCCCTAGGAGCGTTGGCAAAGTGGCTCATAAGCGACGACTGCATTTGTCCGCGTTTTACAAGAAGGAACCAATACAAGCGTATGATCAAGCGTCTCTGTGCGTCAGAGGATATCAGACGCAAGCATTGTTCCCGAAATTAGCTAATGACAGTGGTTTCCTCTCGTTGATCGTACAATTTAAACACGTATTTTCGCATTTCCTCCTCGAAGTTCTAGACCCAGCTCTATTACATATGAGACGGTTATTGTTCATGATTTGCATTTTCAACTTTCGTCAGGTGTAAACTTCGTGGGTTAAGATTTTTGCAAAAATGTTCCATCAGAATCAAAATTTTTGTAGATAACCAAAAAAAAAATTAGATCCGTCCAAACCGCAACTTTCTACGTTTAATATGAACGGAGATATCAGGCATAGATAAATTCGGTTTATGACATCATCCACCGCGGCAATGACACCCTTGGTTTCTTCCGCCTTACTTCCATCCAAGTTTCACGTTGAGTAACCATAGCATGTGTGCATCATTGACGAATGAAAGCAAGGTGGAAGAAACCAAGGATGTCACTACCACGGTGGGTGACGTCATGAACCGAACTTTTCAGAGCGCGATATCTCGGTTAATATTGAACGTAGAAAGTTGATCATTGGATGGATCTTATTATTTTTAGCTAATCTACAAGAATCTAGCATCCAAACACGATTCTGTGACCAGCGCAACAGACCCATTTCAACCCCTCATTTGTGGATATTCTTTCAGTCAAAGATCACGGAAAGAGGATCAGGGACCACCAAAGTATAGACTGATGACCCCGGTATTTTCAACAGTGGATAAAATGAAGACTGTGCATCAAGATTAGAAACAAGGAGAGATTTAGCAGTTGCTTCAAAGAAATTGAGAGAAAAGCCACCGTCAGATGTAACTACTAATGAGACTATTCACTGGTACTGATTAAAGCATTTATGGTGCAAATAATTATGGACCCACGCAATTTTCTGGAAGCGCTGATTGAAATTTTGGTCCAATTTTTGAAACGCCTTAATCTTGACCGTCCAGTTGCAGAGTCGAGAACAATTTGCACCCCTGGACTCATTACCTAGACTACGCGGAATTTAAAATTGGTTTCCCTTTTCTACCCAAAATAGTATGTAGAAGATAGTGCTAATGCTTCATGCTGTTCGTAGATCAAATTGCATATCTTCCGTAAGTTTCTAAGATCTTCCACCGATTTCAGGAAGTGGACTGGAGGACCAGTTTTAGCGATTAACTCTTTTGCGGTAGCTTCAGTGAAGAAAGGCAAATCGGAGAACTCAACTTCTGCGTCTCAAGATAAGATAAATATCAAAATTACATTTTATTTTTCGTTGCTGAGTACTCCAGAAGATTGGAAGTGTGATCAAATTTTAGGTCGCCCAATTTCACATTCAAACTCAATATTTGGACAATATTTGGACAATATTTTACAAAAGTGAACCTAGAATCAAAGCATCAAAATCAAGTATCAAAACACGATTCTGTGACCAGCGCAACCGACCCATTATTCACTGTGATCAGCCCGCAAGTAGAATATGTTAACATTTTTAAGGGTAAACGGCAACTCTGTGACTCCTCGTGACCTGCTCATAATGAAGGTTCTTAGCGCGTCAGAAGGATGCAAATTCGATCTGCGAAAGTACATCATTATAACCAGCACTGGCGCGTGATTGTTGCAGGATGCGTCTCTCGGCTCTTTTCCAGTTAGACGTACTCAAAACCTTGCAAACTCCTTTTTATACATATACAGGGGTCAATTAAGCATGAGACGCGTATTGGTTATGCGTGAGGAAAACGTGCATCTAGATTTGCAATGTTAAACATTTTGCTTATTATTCATCTTTGTGAATGAAGACAAATCATTCTGATTCGCTTCGAGGTTTCGTTAGAGTCTTACCAAAAGCTTCAAAATTTGACGAGGACTCAGGTGGGTCCTAAAGATAGCTTAAAATATCATTGGGGGAATAAAATATAGCCAAAATTTTACACTGGAAAAAAAAACACATTGGATCTAGAGTCCAGACTCTTGAAACATTGACAAGAAAAAGAACTCTTAATTCAATCAGATTTAAGCTTAAATCAAAAGGATTTCCGCTCAAATTAAGAGGCTTGGTTCTTGATTTAAGCTTGGATCTGATTGAATCAAGAGTATTTTTTCTTGTCGATGTTTTTAAGAGTCTGGACTTTAGATGTAACGTGTTTTTTCCAGTTTAAAACGATAGTAGCTGAAACGTTAGCTTGCAGAAATGATCAAATGAGCAGATTTAAAAGTAATCATTGAGGATTTTTGAGCTCACTTTAAATTATTCACGTATTGCAATGATCTAAGCTCCTCTTTCAACGGATTTTTTTTTTTTTATGGATCCGCGCTTGCAAATTCGTCAGTATAAAGAAATATACACGTTACTTTAAAATATTCATCATTTAATTTTTCTTAACAATGTGCTATTCGAGATCAATCATCAAATAACTGTACACCAAGTTACAAAGCGCATTTACATCAATACTTACACAGAATATACACGAAGAAACAAAAATGAACAGGAGGAGAAAATATTTTCTACTAAAAATGTACATATTTTAAACGATGAAGTATAATCACAATAATTCAACTAAAGTAATAATTATCGCTAATTTTGATTTTTACATAACGCAAAGTGTAACGGAAGAACCCACCCCCATTGACTGAAGGTTTCATGATCCGAAAATTTGGATGAACTTTCACTTAGTTTCACTCACACGCCTTGTGATATTCTGACTGTTTTCCTTTTTTTCCCTCTTTATTTTCAAAACGAGAACTTTTTTTACTTCTCGCGTATTACACAATCACAGTAAAAATCAATTGACATGATTCTCGTCCAATAATTCATTGCAGTACCCAAATAACTGCGACTAAACAAAGGGTCACATGAGTACAACTTGTGCGTTAATGTTTCATCTGACTCAGTCTCAATGCATGGACGCATGGATTTCTCGTCGAAAAACAGATCTTATAATCTTACGAATAAATCTTGTGAAATAATTCTCGGTCCGTAAAAATTATAGCGAGTTGTCTCTTTTTTAATTGCTTCGTCTTTTGGAGTTGAAAAAAATTGAACCAAAATAGAATCCTTGATTATAAACTATTTCTCATATCAACATATTATACCTTTTCCAGAATTTCTTTGTGAAAGTCATCAAACCATCATAATAACCACAACTTAAGTCGAACCTCCTTAGACATAGCACGCGAAGGTAGAACGTGAATTTTGACCCCAAGTTTCTCAGAGTGAATGGGTTGTGACCAGGCGCAACTTTATCGCGTACGGTTCAGAATCAAGAGCCTAGCCTCGTTCAAAGTAAACAAACATTTTTCTTCACGAAGTTATATGAAGATGTAATTTCCAAATCTTTTTTCCAAGACGAGGTGGCTAGCGACCGGGGAAAGTCGTGGAATGCTGCAACTCGACCGTGAAAACTCAGGGAATTTCCTCAATGGTCAGAGAATTTTTTGTGGAGTCGGGTTTCATTTTAAAATCGGGTCCGTGACGGGCCAACTAGTTGCGTTGTTGTGCCAACGTTTTAACCACGTTAATTATGTGCCCATATCGTTATCGTTAGTAAAAAAGTTAGAGGATTTCATAAGAAAGCAGGGGATGATAAAATGAACTTTCGCTAGCCACCCTGCGAGAGGCCTCCCTCTTATTAAATTCAGGGTGCTCCTGTGAAAACGTTATTAGTGAAGTGTACGAAGTCACTAGATTAAAAAATCGGCAGAGTTTATCTTCCTTTCCAATGATTTGTAGCACTTACGCGAAGCAATCATTTCGCCCGAGCTCATGCTACAGTGAAGATAATTTACCCGAATCGGTCAGTCTGATATGCACATTTGAGCAAGCACATGTGGAAATCATGTTGATCCTCCCAACTGATCCTCTCTGCAGAAAGAGCTCGAGCTCGGTTGAAAGGCTCACTTCGCGGCTTTGCTCAAAATCATACTAAAGTAAGTTGAATACTTCCGATTTTTTCTCCCGTGATCTTAACATGACTTAACCTCCGGACAAATGATAAAGAAGGGGACTCATTTGTCGAAGAATGGGTTATACTCATTTGTCGAAGAATGGGTTATACACAACAGTGTGATCAAGAATTTTGCACGGGTTCATGCAAAAGTTTGATGTAATCAATTACTTATAATTTGTATTGGTCTGAAGGTACAAAGTTCCCGAATCAGATCATGCGGTAGTCCAAGGTCATCCCGTAGCTGACCAGCGGACCGATTATTGAAATTGATAGACAAAGCTGCAGACAAAGAAGACGAAAGGAATATGCAGAGATCCTCTTGGAAGAAGCAGGTGGTCGCAACGGACAAAGGGGGTACGTAGTCGACTAACTAACGGCAACCCGCGATAGTCCCCACAGCTAGTCCACCATTTCCTCCCTTAGTATATAGGAACCATCCTTTTCAACCGATTGGTCGATCTCTTTTGTCTTCTTCGTCTATTGGTTTGTCTATCGAGTTCAATAATCGCCCCACAGCATCTGCGTTCCGCCCTCACTCCGGCTTTAAAGCTCAATAGGGTCGCCAAACGGACGGATCGGCGTGCTGCCTGTCGTTGTAACGAGTGATGACGACATCCTGGGCCTCCTCCTGGATCTGGTTGTGGTGGAGGATGCCGATCTCGATACCGCGGTTCCCGCCGGAGCTGATGGTGAGGTTGTTGCCGCCGACGATGGACGAGACGTCCTCGGCGAACTGCTCGATCGGCTTGTTGATCTCGCTGTGGTGGAGGTGGAGGTGGATCTGGTTCTGGTTCACCGTCGAGTAGAGGTGCGGGTAGAGGACCATGGTCGGCGGAGGGGGCGGAGGCGGGGGTGGCGGCGGGTGGGGGTGCGGGTGCGGCGCCACGTACGGCTGGACGGCCGTCGAGCCGCCGTTGCCGTCGTAGTAGTTGGGGTAGTTGTAGCCCTGGGCCGTGGTCCCGTTGTTGGTCCAGTAGGTGGCGCCGCCGGGCGTGGGCGTGCAGTGCGCGCTCGCGTTCTGGTAGTCGCCGCCGTCGTAGCGACTGCCTCCGCCGCCGCTGCCCTGGTACGTGGCCAGCGGGTCGCTCTCCGCGCTCGAGGCGCTCCGGGTCGAGTACATGCTGTACTCGTTGTTGGGGATCGCCGAGTGCTCGGAGAATGCTGCACAACAGAATATCAAACGCGAATTAGTCGTCATGAAATTTTAATATAAATCAAGTTCAGTTTCGGAACCAAGGCCTCATCCGTAAGAGCGCAATTCACTGGTAAAAAAAAACCCCTTGGGTCAAGAGTGCAGTTTCTTGTTGCCGGATTTAAGAGTCTGGACTCTTGTTTCAATGCAAAATCCACTTGAATCAATGCAAAATCCGCTTGAAACAAGAGTTCAAGACTCTTAAATCTTGCGACAAGAAACTGCACTCTTAAGTCAAAATGCACCGCGGCATTGGTCCAAGAGGTTTTTTTTACCAGTGTTTTCCGGAACTTAAGGGTGAAGTTCAAGGAAGTGGGGTTTCGCAGAATGGGTCAGTTGCGCTGGTCACAGAATTGTGTTTTGATGCTTGATTCTTGTAGATGAGCTGAAAATAATAAGATCTGTCTAAACCGCAACTTTCTACGTTCAATATTAACTGAGATATCGCCCCTTGAAGAGTCAGGTTTTTGACGTCATCCACCCTCGCGGCAGAGACACCCTTAGTTTCTTCTACGTTCCCTTCATCAGTCAAAATGACACATATTTCGACAGGTTCATGGCGCATGCAAGGCTCAACGTGAGACTTGGACGAAAGCAAGGTGGATGAAACCAGGGGTGTCACTGTCGCGGTGGATGACGCCAAAAACCCGATTTTTCGAAGGGCGATATCTCCGTTAATTTTGAACATGAAAAGTTGCTGTTTGGATAGATCTTCTAACTTTTGGCTAATCGACAAGAATCAAGCATCAAAACACAATTCTGTGACCAGCGCAACTGACCCATTATGTACCACGACCATGCACAAATGTTGTGCCACCGATCCATTAAAAAATAAACTGTGAATTTACACTGTAAAATAATTTTAAGTTATGTCACTCAAGGTAAATTAAATGAAGAGTTCATTAATAGTGAGTGAATGTACATTTATCCGGCTTTTACCTCAAGCGGGTCCGTAAATATTTTTCTTGGAGGGGGGGGGGAGTCTTAAAGATTACCTGTGGCGGGTACAGACAGGTGTATGCCTTCGTTCGTTACAGCTTGTTGGAACTTCCTATCTTTTTTGGCGACAAGAGCATACATTTTTTCTTCGATGAGAGGCCAGGAGTCGAAAAGCGCATTCTCTTTGTCTGCAAACTTAAACTTGAAATCAATGTCAAACCCCTTAGTTTTTTCACGTTTCTTCTTCATCTCAGTTTCACGTTGAACAACCCTTGCGAATGTGCGTCATGCTGTTTGATAAAAGCAAGGTGGACGAAACCAAAAGTGTTACTACCGCGGTGGATGACTTCAAAACCCCCAATTTACAAAGGGCGATATCTCGGTTATTATTGAACGTAGAAAGTTGTGGTTTAGACAGATCTCATTTGTTTTAGCTGATCTACTAGAATCACGCATCAAAACACGATTCTGTGACCAGCGCAACTGACCCATCAGTGACAGCTGAGTTGTAAAGTATTGTCCTGACGGACCCAGTTTGGACGAATTAGTTTCACAAACCTCGGTACCCAGCAAGTAATAGCTAAGCTCTAAGCAGGAACTGCACTAGGAACTTAGAACCTAGCTATACCTTGTTTCTTAAAGCACCCAATTCGTAGATCTAACTCGCCCATTTGCGCTCATATGGGCAAAGCTTACTTAGTTCCGGGAAGAAGGGAAGAGTTTCGCGAACCGCGATCGTGTGGACGTGGCCCACTAGACTCGCATTTTTGCGGGAATCAAGATTTCCGAGATCATTACAGTAGCAAGTAAGGAGGAGGTATGAAGGAGGTCGTATTTTGAATTATTTTATCCGTTTTATTTCAATTGCCCCTTAGGGGATTAACTCACTCTTGCAGTCCCTAAAGTCCCATTCTTCCTACACAAACAAGCGAAACAAGCTAGCCTCAGGTAGTGACAGTTCTGAAATACCGCGAGACTTATATTTTTTTATTTATTTAGTTTCAGCATGAATACGTTAATTTTCAATATATGTATGCCTACAGCTGCTGAAAGTGATCTGGATCCAAGTGCAAAAGCAACCGATTCAATAAAATAAAAAAACAAAATTAAAAATCTGTGGGGAAATGATTAACGAATCAATTGGCAGAATAAAATCATTAGCGTTTCATAATTAGGTACGGAAGCCAACTCGTCATCATTATAATGTCACATCATGCCGAGCACTACTTTGAATGCGGGTTCGACACCTCGGTTAACTCAACGGTCTGATTTCCTCTCTCTTAATTGCAGATGACGGAGTAATTACAATACGATCTGAATCGGAGAGTGCGAAGGCAATGAAGGGAAGGAAATAATCTAAGATCGAGGTTCTTCGATTATCTAATTATGTCATGTCTCGATAATTTCCTCAATAGAGCAATAAAAAATGGTATCGCATCAGTTTCAATTATGAAGATAAAACTTCTTGTGTTTTCAAAAGTTCCTATTTACGGTTTTCTTAAACATTATCTTTTGTTGTCGGGGCTTTTAACGTGTAAACATGCGGCTATCAAATGGAAATAAAAAGGGATTCCGATTTCTAATTAAACATGAACCCTAAGAAATCTGAAGGTAATCATGCTTCACTAGTTGCGCTGTGAGCACTATTAGATATTCTATAGGTTGTTCGGCGATGACTTATTCGGGATTAAGAATAGTGTAACAGAAATCACTAACATCCCTTTTTTTCAGTGTGCTCTCACGAGTGTTACTCTGATTTCCGTGGTTACTAACTCTTTCTCCGGTTTTAATTTGTATTATAACGTGCTTGTTTTGATATTTTCTTGGAATATAATATTTGAAATATTGCGAATATTTAGTATTTTCTCAGTATAATACGCAATGGTTTGTTGTCCGATTTACAATTTTTCTTAAAGACTTCTTTTTGAAGGTTCGTTTTTTATCCCTGTTTCTATCCACGATATTTCTGCCTAAGCTCATTCTCTGTGAGAAAATGCCTAACAGGCGAGTTCTTTAATACTAACTAAGCAAAATACGTAAGGGATAACCATCGGATAAGTCTCACAATTTTTTTTATTACATATTGTCTCCCTCTTCTTTGCAGAGTTCCGTTTTTCAAGATTCTTAAACTTCTTTACGAGCCTTCGTAACGTAAAAACAGCTAAATTTGAAGAGTTTTGTTTGATCTTATCTGGTGCGGAAACTTACCAGGAACATGAGTATTTACAGGCGATTCGAAAGTGGGCGGCTCGGTGCCGTGGTAATTGGGAAGGTAGCCCGTCGGTGAGGTGGAGTAACCGGCATTGTATGGACCCCAAGAAGATTCGCCCCCGATCACCATTGCACTCTCTGAAATCAAAAAAATTAATAAAACATTTCAGGACAATACGTAGCGTTGAAGAATACCAGAAAAAACAGCAAGAGATGTATCTTGCGGAACAACAGAGCGTGACCTCTACTGCGAAGCTTAGCTCCTCCGAATGAAAACCATCAACCGAATAGGCAACTTGGCAACTACTACCGCATACAGGATTTTTTGTGGTATACCTCGAACAATGAAAGCGCAGCGCACTTGTTCCAAAATTAATGTACCAGTCCGCTCAGATCTACGTCTGCGGATCTTGACTTTTCCACCAGGAAACATGACTTGTATCGGAAGCAACAATATTTTACCATCATGTATCAACTGTCGATATCGGATGTAACTTTCGATGGCTCGGAATTGACGATACGTTCCTCTATTTAATCGATATACGTACTAATTGTCACGACCACGACCCAAAACGGTGGTGAGAATTAAGTGAACAACCGATCACACATGCCTGCATCTCTACGGTAAAATGTTCCTTAGCTAGCCCCTTAACTGATAACTTCTCATGGTGCACAACACTGAAAAAAAAAGTTCTGTTCACAGGGCCCCTGCACTTATTTTGTAACAGTCACAGAAGCTTCTGTTATGAAGACAGAGTACGAGGTCTGTTAGATTAGAAACCGGATTTTGGTCATAACTAGCCCACAATGCGTCCGAATTAGGTTTTCTTGAGCTTTTTCTGATAGCTGGAAATATACTTAAGAACGCTACGTTCACAGATTTTGTTTATTCTGATCAGTGTTTATTCTGTGTCATCTTGAATACGAGTAAGTCAGGTGCGTTTTGCGATTTTCATCATACGATCACTGATAGAGCAAAGATTCAACATTAAATTATGCTTTAAACTCGGTATACCTTATACCGAAACTTTTGGTATATGCTAAGTAAATGTTTACTATGATCATTGTATGAGATGTTTCCACTGTTTTGAATGGGTTAAACGATTCAAAACTGGTCAGGAGTTCGTCAAAGATGAGGAGCATGGGAATCGACCCTCAACGGCAACTGACATTTGTCACGTGAAAGAAGTTCGGGCAAAAAAGCTCGGAAATGGTCGTTTCGAGCTTGTTGAACAGAGTCTAATTTCTGAAGGTTCTGTACATACAATTTTGATAGAATATGTAGACACGCATCGAGTTTCAGGTACATTTGCCCCTTGATTGTTGTCCGTTGAACGAAAATCCAACCAAATGTCAATTTCCCTCTAGCTGCTTGAACGTTCTAACAATGATCCTACATTTTTGGATAGGATAATTTTCGGTGACAATACTTTAGTGTACGGCTACGATATGGAGACGAAACTCCAATCGTCCTTGTGGGTTGAAAAATGTAGTGCAAGACCGAAAAAAAGAGACAAGTTCGGTCAAACATAAAAATCGCAAAACACCCTTGAGGTTGCCTTACTTCAAGCCACATACCAACGAAGCTGATTAGGATTTTTCAAATTTGTGAACGTAGCGTTCTTAAATATATTTTCAGCTATCAGAAAAGCTCAAGAAAACGTAATTTGGACGCAATGTGGGCTAGTTATGACCAAAATCCGGTTTCTAATCTAACAGACCTCGTACTCTGTTCCCACGACCGAAGTTCTGTTCTCACAACAGAAAAATTCTTTAAGTGTAACAATGAAACTGCAGGAGCCCTGTGAACAAAAGGTTCTGTCGTCAGCACCATCTTGTTTAGTATGCGCCGTCTGTGGGTCGCATCGGAAAATAGATGGTTTGGGGTGAAGTAGTGGACGCTAAATTTTTCCTGACTATTCGTTTCTTGGGGTTCCACCATGCGAACTACTGAAAATGATACCACAGTACGGCATTCACCATACCATGTCCGCACTTTGATCGCGTCAAGGGAGTTTAAACTCGACTTCGTACTAGCATTGCACTACTCGCATATTGCTGAGAAATAGTCTAACGCCGACGCCTACACAGGTAAAATATCAGGTTTGCATAATTGCCTCCCCTAATTTGTTGTGTAGGTGCTCTTGATTGTGTGAAGCTTTCCGGAGCCTGTTTCATCCCCGAACGGCGGCGGTGTGTTTGTGTCACGCGTGCAGAGAGGTTCCCACTCTTTTTTTTTTGGAGTGAGCTCCGATATCACAGAGCGGAATAGACATCTTAGCTCTGCTCTTACACGCTCGGCTAGGGAGAGGGAGGGTTAGTATATTTCACTCCTCTTTAATGTTTCCCATTTTTGCAGCCAACGCCACATTCTGGAGTAAAAAAAAAACTTAATTTTCCCGAAACGACAATATAAAATACACAACTTAAAATGGGACTAAGGCCACAAAATTTTTTGAAACATTCAATGCAAGGCCGGGACGAATCGCAGAGCGTAATTTCAACCGAAAAATATACAAAAAAAAATTAAACTTACCGTTACGCTGTTCTAAGGAGACTCTGCAATAACAGCGGTGCAGAGGCTCGGAAGATTTGAGTTTTAGTTTTAATATTTCTGTTTATTTCCGGTTGTTGCAAAACGTCTCGACCTTTTATGTCTCATTAAATTGTGCGGCCTCAGTCCTATTTTAAGTTGTTGACTTTGTATTCTGGAGTGTAATCATTGTATCTTTGGCAAGAACGTAGTCGTGAGGGCGGGAGAAGGCCTCGCCGGAGAGCGGACGCAGCAGCGCTGACCGTTGAGGCGGACGACAGATTTCAGAATGAAAAACGCGGAGTGGCGCGGCGCGGGCACTTTCATTCATAAAACTTGACCAGATGAAAGACGGAGGAAACGTAAAAAGAAGGCGGGCAGGAGTTTATTACTGAGCAAATAGCCACTGGGCCGCCGGGGAAGGGTGGGGCGGCGGAGCCCGGGAGGGGGCGGCGCGGCGGTAAGGTTACCGGCACTTCGGGAGACCCGTCGTCTGTTTATTCCCGACTCGGCGTCTAATTACAGGGGATACCACACCGGCCAACTACGATTTCTGCCCGGCGGACCCCTCCGGTCGCCGTCCCGCTCGGAGGTGAATCTGCGTCCGTCGCGCCGGCTGGGAAGTCGGCCGATTTTTAGCATCGCCCGCCGACAGGGCTCGGGGTTGGCTCTCCATTCACAATCCCAATCGGCGCGCTCTACAGTGGATCGAGTCAACGGGGAAGGTCGGACAGAATTCGGAAACTTTAAAAAGCTCATAACTCCGTTCACTGGAAAAAAAACGCATTGGACCTAGAGTCCAGACTCTTGAAAACATTGACAAGAAAAAGGACTCCTGATTCAATCAGATCGAGGCTTGATTCAAAAGGAAATCCGCTCAAATTAAGATGCTTGGTTCTTGATTTAAGCTTAAATCTGATTGAATCATGAGTATTTTTACTTGTCGATGTTTTTAAGAGTCTGGACTCTGTGTGTTTTTTAGTGTATTTTCCGAAGGAAATACACTATTTTTCTTTTTTTTTTTTCTCAGTGTTCATACAAAACTTTGAGATTTTAAAAGTGGCGCCATTGGTTTCTTCGTGAAGTTTTCCTCCAGAAGCACCCCTCAAAACTTAAAATATTACGAATTGAATATCAAAATTTGCAGTTTTGGTCGAAAATTCCGTGTTCGACCTCCCTGGTTCACTCGATCCACTGTGCGCCCCGGCTCAATGAAGAACGGATCTCTGGGCCCTCGGTGCCATCTACTTACTCTCTCTCATTTTGCATCAAGCAACCTACGGGCTGATTATTGAAATTAAGACACGAAACGATAGACAAAGACGACACAGCTGCCGTTCACAGCAAAAACGTCGTAACTCCACTCAAAAAGTTGTATTTTGTTCCAGCACGTATACTGTTCCATTACAAGAAAATGCAATCGCCATATTAGGCCTCATTCTTTCATTTTTAGTTCCGAATAGTATGGCAGAGGTGTATCGAAAAAATGAAGGATGAATATTTGTCAGGTTCTTTGTTAAACAACATTTTGTCCAAAAAGAATTGGAGGTACGACGTTGTTACTTCGGACGGCAGACAGGGGGTATGGAGCGAATCTATCGGTTGAATTGGGTGGCTCCTATGGACAAATGGAGAAAATAATGGTCAACCTATAGGATCTCTCGTAGGTTGCCGTTCGTTACTATATTGCCTACCTCCTTTGTCCATTGTAACCACCCTCCTCCATCAAAAGGATTCCTCCATGTCCCTTTTGTCTTCTTTGTCTATAGCTTTGTCCATTAATTTCAATAATCGAATCCCTGTGCCTAATTGCCCGGTTGCACTTGTCACGGAAAAACGGAACATCCGGTACCCGGAAGATGCAGTATGGCGATTTGAAATGGTGAATTTGTCTTTTGATAAGAGAGATAACGCAATAGCCCGAACTCAGAGCGATAAGTGTAAGGAATACACAAAAAGTGGGTTTACAAGGCCAAACAAAGAGAAAAAGACACATCTAGGATGCCATCGATCTATGGTCAATTCTCAAATGGAGCAATAGCAATTTAATAACTAGAACAAGAAACTGAGCGATGATCATGCAATCGACAGAGGTGGGAATCAGTGCGGACTCTTTCTGAAAGCATCTTAGTTTGTAAATATCGCGTCATAGATCTGTGTACTTGAAACTGTGTACAACTGTACAAATTTTGTCACAAAACTGTGTACAAATACTTGACCGAAATATACGTCACACTGGAAGAAAGTACAAATTGCTGCACCCGCACTCTTTCGCCAGCGCCGCTTCGTTCGGCAGATAACAGATTTCGCCCGCCAAACCAAGCATATGCAACCCGGCCCACCCCGGAGTTAAAATAGTTGTATGTTGGGTTCGAACCCAACTTCGAACATTCTCCCATTGTTTTGCGCTCTGCACATTATTCGAATGTCGTGTTTTTTTTTCCATTTTGAAAGGGGATCCTACCTACCTATAGATTATGTCGCGAGATTTTGTCTGCATGTGTTATTTTTCTTTGTAAATTGAGGATGTTGAGGAATAATCTGAACTTAATCTTGCATTTTGTTGTGCCATCATCCTTCCAAAATCTGTACACCTATTTG